TGAACCATTAATCCGCAGCATTCCAATTCCACGGGATTGAGAAAACAGAACATTATCATTATAGACAATCATCTTTGTTCAAACCGTTCAAACTTGAAACTAGTTACTCGCCTATCAATTTTGAAACACCAAGCAGATTCCGACCTGGATCCGCCCACAGATGCATAAGAACAGGGCATACGATAAATAATTGAATTACCGCTCCAGTGTGGAACAGGAACGGACTGACCATTCGTGATCCGAAGCTCCAGGAATCTCGTAGAATATGCCGAGACGAGAAGTCGCGCCGGTTTGAGCTTCTTACCGGCAGCGGACACTCACTATATACACACCACACACTCCACTCTACTCGTACATCTCACTCATCTCACTGACAGTTTAATAACTCGCCCGTCGTCGAGGCCAAAAGTTCGCCCAAATAGTATCACTTACCATGACACGTGTCCACTGTCGCGCACCCCTCGGCACCAGCACCGCACTGTCACTTCACTCACTCACGAATCACACCACCAAGCATCACCAGGTGCAAGAATGTTCACCATTTTGCATGACACGAGAGTGAGGACCCCTCACGCACACTCCCTCGATGCCGCCGAGACAAAATGCGCAGTTTCCCGCTCACAGTCCCCCGGCGTTAGTTTATCAATCTGCCGCAAGGGGCACGGCTTTGGCGAATAAAATGAGGGCTAAAATATGCATCGCAATGGAACCATGCTATGCCTTGATAAGTCGTGTGTTTTTCTCCTTCATCTGAATGACAGCAAAAAGACTATTGTTCAATGTTTACTCTAATTGATATTGCACAAAATTAACGTTCACGGGTTGCTAGGAAAAATCGGCGTCAAGAGCAGAAGTTCGTTGCTAGGCGGCCGGGGAGGTTGGAGGAGGGGAAGGGGAAGGGGAAGGGAGGGGGCGGGTGGACTGCCAGCGGCGCTCGGCCGGTTGCCGATTAGGGCTACGGTATTGAGACGCGCAATGCATTATGTGAGGCCTGTCTCATGTAGTGCGCGACGTGTGTGAGCGTAACTTTTCATGACTTATCTACGCATGCATGCTAAGAATTACGGAATATGACGTAGTGGTAAATTGATGTTTAATGGTTGTAATACATAATGATCTGTGGAATAAAAACGCAGTTAATTTTTCGCGCTTATTGCTCAAAGACTGAGGAACCTGAAAACAAAAGCGTATAGTTTTATAAGCGTCAGTTTATGGCGGCTAGTCGCTATGCTCAGGAGTCAGGCGCTGAATCCCCTTTATAAATTAAAAGACGGGCAGTGTTGAGGGTATGCTATGCTAGAATTAAATTTAAAAGTATTTAAGAATATTCTTGTCATCCTGGTGCAGCGTATATTTCAAGGCACGTACTACATCCCATTTCGGGACAAGCCCACTCGCATTGGGACGTAGCCCCTGCAGATTTGACCCACTGCGTCCCTGCCCTGTGCCCTACCCCTACCCTTCCTGTGACCTACAGCGCATGGGTGGAGCTTTTCCAGGAAAGTTGGTGGGGCAAAAAGTTGTCAAACCTACAATGTTCGATTGTTAAGTTAGATAAAATTCAACAATGAATCAATTCTTTTCATTACAGAGATAATATTTTGCATTACACAGACATTTCAAAGCTCCTCAATGCGAAAAACATAGGTTTGCTAAGCAGTAAAGTCCTGCAAATCGGCTTAAGTTGGTGGGGCAAAACGCTTATTGGTGGGGCAAAATGGCAAGTTGGTGGGGCAGGCGCCCCACTAAGTGAATAGGAAGCTCCACCCCTGCTACAGCGTGATCTGTCCTGTGCCATGCCCTGTGCCGTGCCCTGTTCTTTGCCCTATACCTACCCTGACATGTGCCGTGCCCTGTGCTGAGTGCTCTGTTTCCTTCTCTGTGCCCTCAGCCCTGGTCTGTGACCTGCGCTTTCCCTGACGTACCTTTCCCTGTTTCATCACCTGTGGCTGTCCTGTGCCCTGCTATATGTCCTGCTCTGTCTCGTGTTCAGCCTTGTGCCCTGCTGTTTTACCTATTATGTACATTAATATTGCATATAAATTGCATGCATGTATAATCTATTTGTAGTTATAATGCCCTGTCGTAGTCGCGCCAGCCGGAAGGTGGCCTCTACTACGCTTCGGGACGGAATATATATATATATATATATATATATATATATATATATATATATATATATATATATATATGTATATATAACATATATATATATATATATATATATATATATATATATATATATATATATATATATAACATATATATATATATATATATATATATATATATATATATATATATATATATATATATATATATATATATATATATATATTTACTGTCTTGCCCCTGCCCCCCGTCGCTCCAGGTCTGCGGGCGCAGGTGCCTTACCTACTTAAACCGTATACTGACTGAGCGGGAGGGCTTTTGACGCCCCCCTCCCCTGTCCTGTTTTAGCGATAACCCAATAGCTTGTCACGCAATCGCCTAAAATTTAGGCATATAGATTATAGCTTCCCCTAATCGCTTTGACGTTATTTAAGTTTTGCTTGGATTCGTCAAGAAAAAGGCGTTCTAACTTCTAACCGATTTTTTTTTTACGTAATATCACGCCAATCTCTCAACAGCAAAGTAAATAGTCATCTTGTTCACCAGGACTCTCAGAGGCTAGTGGGAGGTTCCAGATGCAGGAATAGTGCACCGACGTGGGGGCCCAAGAAATAGTTTGGACATAGCCCTTATAGGTCTGCTTAGCCGCGTCTTGAGGACTGTCAGAGGCCATCGTAGGGCTCTCAGAAGCCAATGAATGTATGCTCTAAAAGAACCACATCACCTAAACGTAGGTATGCCTCCAGACTCGTCGGGGGAGGCCACTGCACTGATCCGTGGTCGTGCGCCACTCCCGCCCCTTGTGTGATAGTTAATCAGTCATTTAATTTGCATTTATTTATTTATTTATTTATTTCACATTACAGACATGTCCGTGGAAACACGGCTATTCTATGTCCAAGTCGTTGTGCATATACAAATCGAATGGGATATGACAACAGTCACCGCAATCATTCACACATTCACCCTCATCACGTGTGCTAACTAGGACAGCTAAGTGGCTCGCTCGCGGTCAAACAAATGCTCCCTCAGTGCCGGCTTGAATCGAGCCTGACTGAGAGCGCGCAGGTCCGCCGGCAGCTCGTTGTATGTACTTACCCTGACACCGCAGAGTACAGAAAACGGCGACGTCCGGACTCTGACCTGACAGTGGGGGTCACAATCATGTCATTGTACCTGGTATCCCGCCCGTGTACGTACTTTTGATATTAATATTAGCAGCCACCAACTATTGCAAAGCAAACCGTCAATTAGGTAGCTACGTTAAAAGTTATGGAAATTTGCCAGGGTCACGCTCCCGTAACACTGTTTCGTTCACATGTTGATGCCAGTGTGCACGCTGCATACCGCACAGAACCCATTTACCGACATCCCCGGACCGGGTCTGGAGGTCATCTCTGGAGGTGGCACCTCAATCAAACTCTATCTCTCGCTCTCTTTCATCACGCGCCATTCCCGCTCTATACCTCTCACGTCATTGTCACAGCCCTGAGCTAATTGTCACGTTGCCACAAAGCAGCGGAACGACATCAACCCTCCGTGAATTATTGGCGTGACACAGCGCCCTCACGAGTGCCCCGTGACGTCATCGGTCGGCTGGCGGTGTGGGCGGCCGCCGCGCCGTTCCCGGCTGCAGACTCGCTCTCCGGGCCGCCGCACCCCTGTCTCGGCCGTCCCCTGAAGTGGTGAAGCACCTCACCGGACGGGGTGTGCCAGGCTGAGGTGCAGCGTCTCCAGGGTCGAGGTTATGACTCACCCGTGGCAGCCGCTCCTTACTTCCAATAGTTCTGTAGAGAGACCTGTAAAGTTACCCCGAGCACTCCACCCATTTACCCAGCATTGAGGCGACGAGAATACCTAAGCGACGCACGCAAAGCTAAGCGATGCATTGCTGATTTTTAGCTGAAATATAAAACCACTTCTGTGTGAAGGAGTCGGCAGTCAAGTGTATCTGGACGTTGTAGTCTGCCCAAATAACGTTTGATTCTGTTCATTGTGAGAAGTGTTCACGAGCACTTTCTTTTATTCATAGCATACTACCCGCTACATAGGTACTTTGCGCTCTGCAATAGGCAACAGGTGCAATTTATAGGGGAGCATCCGCAAGGAGCCATACACAACGACGACGCCCCGCCCCGGAAATGACTTTCGTGACTCGAGCAGTTTATTTTTTCGCCGCTACATGAAAGTAGAAACTCTTGTCTGGCCTGAGCGACACTTGCCGAGTTATTTATCATTTTGAACAATGGTACGACAGTGAATGACCAGACGGATTTGGAATCGGACAGCTGTTACGGCATTGGATCGATGATAAGCAGCTCACTCGGGGCATGTCGCACCTGCTGATCGGCGACTTTTGCCGGACGTAGATTTTTTACTTCACCGCCTATCATGGGACCCATCACCGGTGACAGGACAATTGTTCGAATCGGCCACATGTGACGAGCCGCAAAAAAAAAAACTCAGCGATGGGCGGTCTAATGGCTGAAGTATTCTTCGGAAACTCCGAAAAATCCTGGATGGTCTGCTATTTTCCTTCCTGCGAAAGAGTTGTTTATGTTTACGAGTAGGGTGTTACGTTTGATAAATTCATGTGACCTTATCTAGTTATTCACTCGTCTCTTTCCTCGTAATGATCTTCACCAGCGCTCTTTGCACCCAATTGACCAATCTATAATCTAATGATGATTATTTACCCTCGTGAATCCGTTCCCCAATTTACATTCACCGATTTGTCAAACAAGCCGCAAGGTTTGTTTTTCTTGCATGCTCCAGCGCTCTGCCCGCCGGGTCAGCCAAGGTCAGCGGGTGTTCGTCCGCTGTGCCCCGGGGGTATTTCTGTCGCCCTGGGCGCTTTCTCTGGCCGTGCGCCCGGGTCGTCTGACGTCACAGGCAGGTTAGCCTCATGCAGTGCACCGCTCGGCCGACGAGGGTTCTGTCAGAGAGCTGCCAGCCCGGCCGGAACGTCAGTGTGGCGTCGGCTGGCGGGCTGCGAGCAGCGCCGGGCCGCTGCCTGGGTCGGTGTGGATCGGTGGAACGGTGCTGCGTTGAAGCCGAAAGGGGAGGTTAACTGACCGGTGAACGCCACGGCTGAGTCGAACAACAAACGCCACTGTGAGGACAATAGTTTGACCGCGCCCCAAGTCAAGAACAGGATCAGCGGCAAAGAAAATGTCGAGCAATTCCAAGCCGGTAAGCATCCATAGTTCGACGTAAATTTTGTGTTTGCTGTCGGCTATTACATACGTTTATTCGTTCATACGTCTATCATTTCTGCTCGATCTTTCAGCATTTCCGAAAAATCGAAGAAAGAATTCGTATGTTCATTGTTCAACCGCTCCCCACCAAGGCGCGGGATATATGCTGATACAGGTAAACGGTCATTCATTTTTTCGTCGAAGGGATAATACCAGTGAACGAAGTTTCACAGCCGGTGAATAATATGGGGCGGCTCCTCTTGTGTTGAGGAGACACGACCGATTGTCCACCCTGAACCGTTCTTCGCCCGCCCATGAACGGTCGCCTTTTATTGACTGTGGGCGGGCCACGAGTCTTTTGGGAGGGTCCCAAGTCTTCTATAGTGGAGGATGAATGACAGAGGGCGGACCTCGAAACACCTCCGTTCCGGGAAACGCCACGTCCGTACGACGGCAAAGGGCCTACAAATTAGGCATGAGTCCGTGACGTTCCTATGGAGTGTTGATCACAGGTACTGCACAGTGTGCACTGCACACATACCTATCATGACACTGCGGAGTGCGGATCCAGCTCACAAGTCGCGTGAGGAGTTAGCCGGGGGGTATAACCTTCACACCGGACCTCCACACCTTCAGCCTCCTCAGATATTTTGTGCGCGCATTGTGCATACATCAAGCCTACCTCGATCCGTCAGCCTCCACCGTCTCTTGCATTAGTATACGGCCATTGTCTGTGCCTTCCGGGCCGCTCTGCGATGACGTCACTAGCCGAGCTTTGTGCGCCAATGCGGGCGTTGTCGCCGTCTTAGCTCCGTGAGCCCCATGTCCATAAAGTGGCCTTAAGTGTCTGCAGATTCAGTCTGAGGTGTGCCCTTGGGTATGCACTACGCCGAATGGCCCTACACCGCGAACCGTGCCGACTTAGGTGAGTGCATCGTGCAGATTGTGCACCGTCCAGGGTGCGCTGTGCACTTTGCACTGTTCATTGTGTACCGTCCCAGGTCCGCAGGGGATGAGTCGATGAGTCGAGCGTAAGTCTCAGACAGGTCACGAAAGGATTGGATGATTCATCTACTTGTCCGTGAGGTATTGACGGAAATTGAGATAAAGAGAAGAAAAGAGGAGTGAGAGGGATGGAGGGAGACAGGGAGAGAGAGAGAGAGAGGGGGAGAGGGGGAGAGAGGGAGGATGGGAGAGAGGTAAAGGCAGTGGGAGGACAGGGATATGATACCTATAGGTATACATCAACAAATTAAGGCTGGCTTTGTATCGCTCACCAAAGTGATGAGAAGGAAGGTGCGACTACATTGTGCGGAAAAACGTGAAATTAGCGTTGGGCCACTAACAGCATTAATCATGACACGAAGCGGTTTATTAAATTATGCCAGTTCACGCTATGACCTCATACAACGACCACGACGCTCGGTATAAAGCCACGAACAGTCCATTGTTTCCGCCATTTAAAGTCCAGCCTGCGCCCCATTCTGTGTATATTGTCTGAGGCCCTGGGGGAGGGGGGGGGGGCTCTCCCACCGTTTGTTGACCGCTGGGTGACCTGCACGCTGGCTACTGGTTCGCTGTATGTGTGTCTGACTGCGGTGAACGCTGGTGAACGGTCGTGAGGCCGAGCCGGTCACGGCAGACCGCAGACCCGACCCGCAGACCACGGGTTTGGGACCTGCTCGGGGCGAACGGGGAGTCGTGGCCCAATTATCGCCGCAGTCCAGTCCAGACTAAACCGTGTCAGAAACCAAACGGCACATACTGCCTTTTGGTAGTCACTAGTCACTGACGTATCTTCAGAAAGACGTTAATAAGCTCAATCAAAATCTGTTTGATTGGGCATTGTTGCTCGGGTTAAATGGTCGCCCGAGTGGAGCCCGGGACCACGGCCTGGTGGTGCTGGCCCATGAGCGGAGCCTGCGGTCCCACCGACCCGCGAGGACCGACAAAGACTAGAGACGACTGGCGTCAAGGACGCCAGTCGCCAGACTGGATATATTTGGACTTACCGCTTGATATACTTTGGACATTTTAACCTTTCCGCTTATCTACCAAACCTATCTTCCACTACCCCATCACATCGTCCCCCTTGGCTGGCCGCCCTCTGGGCCGGTGCACCCCATGGGAGCTGCACTTGTGCTCGGTATTGATCGGTGCCGCTCCCCTCTGCCCCTCTGTCCCCGGCGGGGCCGTCCCCTCCTCTGTCGTCCGTCCGTCAGCCCCGTCGGCACTTAGCTGCAGGCTCTCCCGTATGGAGAGGGGAGAAGTGACGTTATATCACGGCCAGGAAAGGTTGGGAGCGATGCCATATCACAGTCCAGTCGGGGACAGAGTGACGTCTCAACACAGTCCGACAGCTTCGCATGTGATGTCATATCACGGTCGAAAGAATACCATGGTTTAGAGAGGACCGCAGTCCAGACTAACGCCATGTCACGGTTCGGATGGGACTTTACTGATGTCACACCACGGTCAGAAGAAGAGAAAGAATTGGCGAAGCGGTCATGGGCGAGGCCCTTGTTTGTTATGTGACATATATCATGACGCATTGAGCAAACCGTTCAACAAACTGTACTAACGCCAAATGGCATGGAGAGCGGCCCGGTCTGTGGGCCTGGGGCCGGTCGGGCTGAGACAGGGTATTTTGTGCCACTCTGCTCGCAGCTGGAGACACAGCTGTGGCCAGGGAGACCCCGGGCCGGGCCTGTCGGGTGCCAAACGCGGACAAATAAAAACAAGCTGTGACTATCGAGATGTACGGTGACTACGAGATGACGCACAGCCGACAGCGTAAGACGCTTGTAGACAGCACCCTTAACTCACTTCAACCGTGGATAAAAGAGATGTTTTAATTCCTCGATCGAGTGAATTTCACCCGGACGTCTCCGTCCAGATAAATGCTAATTCCGGTGGTTTGTTAATTCATGAAGCTGTTTCTCTTTGATTCCCTATGAGACGGGTGGTGAATCTATCTCACCAAACTATTCTAATCACAGAATCAGGGCACCGTAAAATAAACGCTAAATAGCAGACGGTCATTGACACACTATGGTCGACGAATGAACCCGCCCGTTACCTATAGGTACCGAGCCCCTTCAGTAACTAACCCAGGCGTTTTTCAGGGGGTTGGATCGTCTATGCCTACTTTTAGTTCCTCTGTTCACCATGCATAGAGCCGTTTTTTCCATGTCAAACATTAAGGCTATTTATTCACCAGCCGAAGCGAGGGCAGCTTTTATGGAGGCAGTCGTTTTTCAACTTTCTGCGCATCAATGCTGATACACGTCGACTGAGCATCAGTCAGGACGTAAACAGCCCGTTTAATTCGAACAGAACGGCGTATGAACTCGAGTGCGTGACGGGACAAACAGATGTGTGGCGTGTCCCGCCGCGCAGAAACGGAGACAGAATCTGCACGCGCGTTTGCCCGCTGTTTTGGTGTCGACTTCCGTTTGATTCCGCAACGGATGACTGAATTTGACTGCTGGCTTCTGGAGTGGCGAGCAGTTTGGAAACAAAACAACCCCGAATCCCGAGATGGCTTTTTAGTCTGATGGAGTTGTATCCATGTAAGAGGCCCGGAAGCCGAGATCCTCTTTGATTGATGAGTGGAAATAGAGACGGATATTTGTTTGGGCGAAGCAACGCTTCGTACTTGTTTTCATCGCGGGCGGTACCGACATGTGCAGGGCTCCAGCGGTTCAGTAGCACATGACCCACGACGCGACGACAACGACGCCAGGCACCGGCAACGTCACTCGTCAAACTTTCACTACGCCCGGGCATTTGCTTCCCGCTTCCTTTATATCCGGGCTGGCATCCATACCAACGACATGATGACTAATGAGTCTTTCACTCTTGTCATCACTCTCTGCTGTCATGTCGCCATCGTGTCCCAGTCATCTTCACACATTCTCTTTCCGTCTATTATTGGGTTTTCGGACCTGTTGATGGTATGCAATAAATACAATACAATACAATACAATTCTAACGCCGCTCGTTCCCCGTTTTCAGGAGATGAACGGAGTGGCTGCGTCCCCCGGAGCCGGGGCCGCTGCCGAGGAGGGCCCCTATACCGTTGACAAGGCAGCCCTGCGAAAACGGCTCACCCCACTTCAGTACCAGGTCACACAGGAGAAGGGCACAGAACGGTACGTAAAAGTGTGGGTTTAACGGGATATATAATGCAAACAGCGCAGCTTCACATTCCATTTGAGTCATTAATTATTGGCGGTGGAAGCTTCATTCATTTCACGATTTCTCGTAAGCATTCATTTTTTATAGATATATTTACCAAATACATCAGAGCATAGGCGGCGGAACGGGGAGGGCACCGGGGCACCGTGCCCCCCTTTGATTTTGGCATTTCAACATTAGCCCTATGGGCGTTGCATGGAAAGAATGGGACCAAAAGTCAGCAGTGCCCCCCCCCCCTTAATTGAAGTTGTTCCGCCGCTACTGCATCAGAGGACGTCTAACAAAACTGGACCAAGTTTTCCCTTCTGCTTCGTGCTTTATGCAAAAACTAGCTCAGAACTAGCTCATGACTAAGCTACGACCGCCAATGAGCTCGTTTTTGCGATGAAAGAAGACCAGAAGTCGGTCCCGGAGAGATCTCAGCAGGTTTAATCCCAGCTTAGCAGTGCTATTCTGCCGGTGGCAGCGGACCAGTGTGCGCCGGTGCAAATACCGGTTCGGTCACTGCCCCGGACTGGTGTGGGCGAGGTGACATGCGAGGCCCGATGGTGCGCTGGGGAGGGGAGGGGTCGTAGTGGTTGGTCGGTGGCCACGGCTGGTGACGGTGTTGAGGGACGAACGTCAATCTCGGGCAAGGCATTTATTTTTAGAGAGAGGGCCGTACCTAAGCATGGCCACTGGACAAGTGTTTTTCTTAATCACCCGGATGTTCAAAAACCAGCGGTACCTAGTACCTACCGTCTACCCGATTGAAATAAAAATTCGTTCTGCATGCCAATCTGTGATCCCTTTCACGGACATACCCCCCGTATCGCTACAGTCAATCGATCCTCGTCACCGCCTCTGGCCTTGGCGCCGTCAAACGTGTCACACTCACTCCGTGGAATCGACACCGCCGAGCTGACCTACACTACTAACCCCCACTCCCCTCCCCTGCTGTCTGGGTGGCTTCATCGCTGACATGACAGTTGGCACGGACCTCAGCTATTCAGCGCCAACTGCGGGGGTGGGCTGGGGAAGGGGGAGGGCGGGTGCGACATCCGCAGTGGTATGACGTAGGATTGTGCTTCTGCTGTCCGTACCTATTTGGTATCCATGCTAAGAAGAAAGGCGGTATTGTGATGTCATATCTATAAGCACAAATTAAGTGAATAAAAATCGTCGAGCTGGCAAAATGCACAAGCCACAAGGACATAGGGAAAGAGTGAAAAGTCAAGATTCAATGGAAACACGGGACCGGAACGTCCGTTTCGATCACTAGCTATTCGCGTTGAAAGGATTAGGTATGACATAAAGCTGCATATCAATATCGCATTTCTTTTGAATCCGCGCCCACTGCCATTTCCGTCTGGTTGCATGCCTTTTTTACATCGGGGGAGTATCGCAGTCTCCAGCAACACAGGAGTCCGACCATAAATGGATCCAACGAGTCAGATATGGTTGTCGGATCCGGCAGGTGCGGCGTACCGCGAACTCGTCACTTGTTCGGCGTACCATTCACCTGCCAGGTACAGCCTGGTACGCGAGTCACGACCGGTGTACGCCTTTGGCTTTGAATTCACTTGAACATATGCACTGAGCAGTGAGGGCTCGGAATTAGTACGGTGACGGTACCGTGCAGGACCCAGCGGGAGAGGAAGCGGGGGCGGGGGCCGGTCACGCAGAGCCGGGGCCCCACGCAGTTCACTGCCGTCGCCGCTGCCGCGCTGTCGGCTGGTCTGTTACTCCTGACCTTGGCTCCCCTGGACCGTCTGCCTACGCAGCAACGTTCCTGGCTGGACAGCGGCGATAGGCGTTATCACAAGTGTATTCGCGGCCATTGGGGCGACGTAAGAAAAGAAAAAAAACAACTGGCCCCAAGAACTTTAAATTATCAGTTAGCATGCACCTTTTCCTGGATATGTAGAGAATTTACCATTAATTGTTAGAGAAAATTGCATTTAAAATCTTCCATTTATGCTTTTTTCATCGTTTGCACAGTATGTTCTTTTACTAAGCTAGAAACACTAATTAGAAATAGTTCCCGCATCATCAAGAACAATAGGGAAGGCTTGAAGTGAATACAATAATCTAAACGGTTTTGTTATCCATGTGAAGACACTTCTAAAATTGCCTGTAGAAATATTAAAGGCAAAAGTTCAACTTTTTCACAAGACGGATGGCTATAAACCTATTCAACGTGTGACAACTCAGCCGGTATATCGTCGCCTACAGCCCAGCTTCCCCTAGTGACCGATAGAGGCGCTGCTATCGATGTCCGCCCGTGCCGCCTAACGGACAATGTTCACCTGGCAAGCCTACCAATTTCCTCGCCGATCATCTGGCCACTCCTGTCCATTTCACATCCCGCCGATAGTCTCCCATCCTGGGGATTTTCCCCGTCCCGATTTCACACCCAGCTGACCTCTAGCCGAGCCATCCAGCTGTGTACCTATTGAACAAGCACAGATGTACCGAACGACTCCACCCAGCCGGAGCGGGGAGGACAGGAAAGGAGCAAACATCCCACGCCTGACATTCTTCAACGGAACCACCCTCCCCGTCTATCCCCCAGGGCCTTTACGGGCCGGTTCAACAAGCACCGCGAGCCGGGACTGTACCGGTGCCTGGTCTGCGGACAGGCCATCTTCAGCTCGGCTACCAAATACGACTCCGGCTCCGGATGGCCCAGCTTCTATGACGTCATCGACGCCAAACGAGTGAAACTCAAGTCAGACCTGTCTCACGGTAGGTGCGGGGGGGGGGGGGGCGGCACCGCACAGCTGATGCACGCTCCTGTGTGTTGCACGCCGCACGGTTGTTGCTGCATGTAGAGGATTTTAAGTTAACCGAATTTTATTTTAAATGCTTGACGATAATTTTTGTTCACCTGTTGCATCAGTAGCATCCCACAATTAATCCGTTCGATTGCTAGCGAGTTTTGTTGTTCGTTTGCTCTGACATAACGAACTGTTTTGGCGTCTGCCCGCCCTGGCCTTCAGCCACCGGAGCTGTTTTGTCGCCTGTGGCTCTGTGTCGTACCCATTGTGCCCGCTGCCAGCCGGGCTGACGTGTCCTCTGCGCCGATCACGTCACCTGGTCCTGTGACGTCATCTGTCTCCCGGTGACGTCACAGGTCAGCAGAGGGCGGTCGGCCGTAGGAGCAGTGTTGGCCGGTCGGCCGGCCCCTATATTTAGCTTCCTCGTGGCTGTGTGCAGGCTGGGTGGAGCGCGCAGCATGCCGCCGCCTGGTGGAGGGATGGGTGACCGCTCTCCCGGGGCTGATCGGCCGCAGGGATGGCAGCGCTCAGCTGTCAGTCGATAGCCGAGCCCAGTCATGATTCAGGTATGCGGTGATTGGCTGCTGACTCCACGGCCAGGCTTTGTTCGTCGTCAGAGGTCCGTCTTATTCCGAGAACATGGGAGCTCTGATCCGTTCCATTGATGTTGGTATTTCCAATCTAACGCTGGACGACAATCCTTTCTCTTCAGAGCATCGATTCATAAATTACCCAAACGTCAGCCATTACCAGTTAAGTGTAAGAAATTCCAAACGTCCTGAACACCACGCCTCGCCTTGATGAGCCTAGCCACTTTGCATCATCGATATCCCATGGGCGTACATTTGCATCAAATATCGATGTAATCCGTAATCGAGAACGCCCATCCGATATTAAACGAGAGTTTTTATGATCCCACTGATCTGCACGGTACCATTATGCATGCAATGGTAGAGAATGACTTCGGACATTCTTTATAGGCTAAAGGCTTTCATGCCTATCGCTTTAACTAACACGATTGAGTTTGCTTGCACGATTTTCCACTAATGTTGATAGTGACTACCATACATCGCAGTGTATTCAGCATAAGACTGGACTTTACAACGACGCATCGTTTATCAATTGCCAACAAGCGTGGTGACAGTTGATGCTTTTTCTTCGTTTGCTTGTTCAAAAATCAATCTCTAGTGAGTGATATCTCGATGACCTAAATGAGTCACAGCACAGACCTTGCCTTGCAGACTGTCATCTCAAACGTTAACATGGCTTATGGTTGCGGGGCAGACATGGTTACAGCGCTGGTTAACTGAGCCGTGCTATATCGGGCGGTCCGCCGGTGCGACTGTGCGGGGTTGGCAGGTCCCTCCGCCGCTGCCCGCTCGTCCGCCGGCGGACCGCCCGGCTGACCTCGCCCGGTGCGCTTCACTAACCCCCACGAGGAAGCTGACCTTTGTCCCGTGCCCGTGGCCCAGTTGGCGGCAACATCCTCCTTTTGATTGCCAACCCAGGCATGGAGCGGACGGAGGTGAGCTGCGCGCGCTGCTCAGCCCACCTGGGACACGTCTTCAAAGACGGCCCCAAACCCACCGGCAAGCGCTACTGTGTCAACTCAGAGTCACTCCAATTCGAGCGAGACGACTCAATCGACGTGCCCGACGGTCCCCTGGAGTTCTTCCGCGGCTCGTGCGCTGGTGGCTCGTGCTCGGCGCGTGCCGCCCTCCGTCCCACGCCACCCCGACCGGCCGGCGCCGGTGCTGCCATCTCGCGGGTAGTTGATAAGTATAACCGCCTGGAGGGTGGCGCTAGTGGTCCCTCAGCGCAGCCCGGGACCAAAACGCTGCCCGAGAAGGCGATAACGGGACAGATTCAGGGGGGTCAGGTGCTGAATGGACGCGCGTGAGAGACTGAGCTGTGTGGAGAGGGGGGATGAGAGTGTATCTGTGTGCGTGGCCACTGATTATTTGTGCTTAGGAGCGCCCGATGTCAGGACGCCCTACCGCTGCGAGTCTATCGCGTGTACTTGCGAGCGTGACGCCACGACAATGTGAAGCCGTAACGCACCATCGCCGTATTTATGCTTTTGTGTCCCAGCTGTGACTAACGTGATGCGAGCGAACGTGGTATCTTGCCAGCAGGGCTTCAATATTTTGTGAATATACGTGTTTTCAGTAATACGATCCATATGGTGTCTATGCACACTTATTTACTGATTGTTCGTTATCACAGCGCTTAACGTAGAACACGTAATAGGTCACGCTTCGAATCAAATAGCACGACGCCAGAACGTCAGGAAAAGAAGAATAAAAATCTACCGAGAAGTATCCTCTAATTGACAAATAATTACGTTGAAGACTAGGCCATTAGCAGATTTCAAGGCATTCTGGTTGATCATATATTATTATCACCTAATACATCCACACGTCATCACAGCAGCGACTGATCCCATCACCCACCCCTACAAGTGCCGCTGCGTCCCCTCCCCGTCCCACAGTGGCGCGTCCTCCCGGTCCTGGCAGTCCTCCTCCTCCTCCCGGTCCTCCTGGAGGTCCTCCGGCCGGCGGCGCCTGGAGCTCTCCCAGTCCCGTAGGTCCACCGTGCTGCTCACTGGGGAACATGAGATACAGGGTTAAATACTGATGACACCGTGTGTCCGGATGGGACACGGACGTGGTACGCTGTCAGGCGCAAAGCAGCAGGCCACGTAAAGAAAACACGTAAATATCAAAAGTGACGAAGGTGCAAGAGAATTTGAGCAGGGTTGTGGAATTTCAATGAATATAGAGCCATTTAGTCATTGACCATAGTTTGATACCCGTTGGATTCTTTTACCGTTTATAAGCCGTTTATAAGGTAAAAACGTTTATAAGCCGTACTGGAACGTTTAATCGGTCTTTTCACAAAACATGGTGTCAACCGCAACAGGTATTTGACGACCGCTAGAGCCCACCGATAACGTAGCCCGCACCGACCGACTGAATGTATCCGCGCTGTGCTCTCCATACCTTTGTTCCGTCTCATCCTGGCCCACTTCCTCTGCTTGGTGAACTTCTCAAAGGAGAGCTGCTCGCGCTGAGCGGGGGTAGCAGCGCCGACCGCAGGGACGGTGGGCGTCACGGCCTCTGGGTGCAGTTCCACCTGTCTGTGCAGCGCCGAGGCCTTCAGCAGACGCTCCTCTACCTGGGGGGAGCGGGAAAAAGGGCGTTAGGTGCGGTATTGTGGGAGAAAAGACGGACAGGCCAGACACTGGAACATGAACCGCACCATGACACAACAGGGCGGAGAGACACCAAAACAGTGCAGGTTAACCTATTCTAGAGCGGAACCAGCATTACCTCACACGCAATTCTCACTCCTGCACTAGTGTCTTTTATGCGTCTGTAACGACTGGGTGCCCCCCCCCCCCCCAGCAATCCTATACCATCCCTCCTCCCGATTCGGCTCACCTCTGCGAGGATAGCGGCCCGGTTCAGCCCTCCGGTCGTGTGAGGCATCTCGAGCTCCTCAAACACGGAGTCGGGGGCCGAGTCATCTGATGAGCCGCCGTCCAGCGAGTCACTCCCCAGCAGGTGCTCCTGGGGACCGGCGGGTGCAGTCAGTCGCAGCAAGGAGGGATACGGAAACATGACTGTATATAGCACCCTGGCACAGTCTCTCAGCTTTGTTTTTACAAAGCATATGCTATTTTGCACTTTCTCGACTAGCTTTGTAAGTCATGTCAATTGGTGATACCTACATATGACTGCACGGTCCTATGCTGGCATAAATTATGAATGTAAATGCATACCGAGACACTAGCATTTTGCTGGGGTACAGAATCATTACTCCATTTCAAGCCAGCGTCGTCAAATATTATTCAGACAACTTGACAAAATCAGATGGTATTAGCAAGCGTTACCGGTAGAGACTGGCGAAAAATGACCCGACCAGTCTCTGCATTATCGTCCCGCGTTATCTGCGATGCCCATCTCAGGGGGAGAGGGAAGCTGAACTCACCGTGTGTTGGGCAGTGAGCGGCAGGCCGAGCACACCCTGCCTCTTCACCAGGTGGGTCGGGTCGGTCGGCACGAAATCGGGACCGAAGTCGGCCACGGCCAGGCGGCGCTCCACCTCCTGCAGAAGGCTGCTCTCCACGTCTGGGGGAGCGGAACAGGCGGGGAGTTCAAATGTCTGCGAAAATCAAACACTGTTTCACGAAACACGGCAGATGAACAAAATCATCAAGGACAGCGAAACAATCGAATTCATCATATACCTTACTGCAGTCTGAATAAACCAGTTTAAGCAATTATAGTAAATAGCGAGCACGAAAGACATTTTATCTAAGAGAGTTGACCACAAAAAATTATTCGTAGTGGAAAGGACTTTACTTCGTACTTGATGCATACTCTTCCCCTTACAGCTGAGCACCATCCAAAGAATATCCCCACTGATTCTACCCGTCTGTGTACGCACCTCTGACGAATTTGATGCCGGGCACGTGTCCGGTGACGCGCTGCTGAGTGAGCGCAGCACGCAGGGGTCGACCGGCCTCCTCCAATCGGGAGGCTATGCGGCGCTCGTCCGCGCCCGCCGAGCACGTCCAGAACACGTACAGAAGACGCATGTTGCCCGACAGCTGGACCTGAGAACGACAGACGACGGTGAGGATGAGGGTCGAGAGTCTGAGACATAGGTACTTATGCAATAATGACATACAGGCATGAGAGACTGAGGACATGGTTGCACGTCAGTCGTAAGTCACGGTGAACTGATGACCGGGTAATGCGACAGTTAAATGCGATCTATTGCAACATGGTGAGCGAACAGGGGTGTTGATTGTTGTGTGAACGAAGATCAATGCGTTACAACATTTCTATTCTCTGGATATCAGGGTTACGTTCTCGTGCCTTTATCATGTTTGCTTTCATAACAAAAAAGACATTTCAGAGCGCAGACGATTCGCCCCGGGTGGCTACAATGAGGTACCTCGCACTCGTCAGAAATAATGACGCAGTCAACATCTTGAACCAGGCCCACAGCTTAGAAACGTGTAACAAAAGGTTTCAATCGTGTGATTTCACCTCATTTTCTACAGACGAAGTTCACATGATAATACAGCTCGTGCAAGAATGCCAGGCAAAAAATGTTCGGAATGAAACGAATTTCGGAATTTCATTAAGCAGAGCCGCAGTTTAAATAATTTAAGGTATTTTCGATCACATATATCAGCATGGAATAGCGTAATGACCTTATAAAATTTTATAGGACATACTGTCTGTATGAGACTTCAACTTCCTACAGGGGCTCGCAGCTTAGAGTTGAAACTCGAACAGTTTTAACGACGAAAAAATTGCAGGATGTCTGCCATCGTTTATAAGCCGTCGGCGAGATATCAAGTTCCAGACTGGTTCCGACACAACTGCAGTGTTTCAGATACCAGCAACCGAGAGCTTACTGTTAGCCACGATACCAGACAAGGAACGAGTCAAACTTTAAATGAAGCAGAGATAAAAACAAAATGGGACTACCACGACACAAATAACCGTCTATGCGATCGCATTCGCGATGTAGAAAGCTGGAAATTAGTTCTCGAGCAAACATTGAAAGAAACTGATGCCGAAATTGTGTCCCTGTCAAACGCGAAAACGGCAGCGGAAGATGAGCTCGAACAAAGACATTTCGACTTGGAAACAGGCCTGGAGACTCTGGCGATCCGGGAAGGCCGACGAACCGTCGATGTGGTCAAGGATGGGGTCGAAGTCGAACTGAACCAAGAAGTTCAGGTCATCAAGGACTACCGGAGTGAGCTCCAGGAGCGATGTAACCAGGCGTTTGAGCAGCTCAGTCGGCTGCAGGAGGCGCGTCAGAAGCTGCAGAGCGACATCACAGACAAATACAAGGCGCTCGACATTGACGGCCTTTGTCTGTCGATGACTCCGCAGAGTCCCAACATCAGCTTCAAGCCGCACTGCATGCGCATGCCGAAGGACACTGTCACCGTGCAGCAGTGGCAGGACCACTCGCGGCACAACAAGGAGCGCGCCGACTACCAGATGTGCCAGTCGCGCCGACTGCGGGACGCCATCATGGCCTCGCTGGCGCAGGGCCGTAACCGGCTGGACGCCCACCACACGGCCGTCCAGTTCGCGCTGCGACAGCGGCTGCACGAGCTGCACCAGACGCACGACGACCTCGTCTGGCAGCGCACCAAGCTCGAGCAGGAGATCGCCACTGTCGAGGAGGACATCCGGCGTCTGGAGGCGGCCATCCGCGATAAGGACCCCTACCGGAAGCTGGCAGAGACGCGGCTCGAGTACCGCATGGACCGGCCCAACATGGAGCTGGCCTACGACCCGCCGTGGCACGGCCTGCGCGAGGAGCGGCTCAGCATCCAGGCCACGCAGGAGCTGCTCAACGGCCGGCTGCAGCAGCTGTGGGACGCGCTGGACCGGCTGCGCCGACAGCTGGCAGCCGTCAACGAGGACATCTCGGTCAAGGCCAACTCGATCCGGCTGGACCGGCTCAGTCTGGAGACGCACGGGCGCACGCGGCCGCCGGCGCCGCCCAAGGACCGCAACTACCTGGACAAGGTGCTGCTGCTGCGACCCGAGAAGACCATCTGCGAGCGAGGCGTGCACTACCTGCCGCGGCCCGACCTGCTGCCCGGCTACCAGACCGAGCAGGACTGCTCGTATACGGCCGGCTGCTCGGGCAACCAGTACCGGCGGCCGTGCCACAACGACCGGGTGCTCGGCTGCTGAATGGTCGAGCCGCCGTGAACTGGGTCACAACCAGAGGGCCCGCCAGGTCGACACGACTGACTCGACCCTTGGTCGAAAGGGCCGACTCTGCGTGGCTACGCAGAGCGGTCAAAATTGCTTTGTGCGTGATTTTCGGATTGGTGAATTTGTCAAAAGTGTCCGATGTTGAATTAAAAGTTGCTGGTTATCTTGTCTTACCATAGAGCTGTCAAACCAGCAGTTGTCAGCTTCAAGTCCGGCATCGATCAAAATATATCTGTTGATGTCACACATTATTTACAGATCGGCGTACTTGAGTGAACGGACATAATTGCCCAAATACCGTCTCATTATTATTTTCTTATGCTTCGCCTTCGCACCCTTGCATGCAATTTTCCGAGGTTCTCATATAGAAGCATTACGCAGTGAATAACAAGCGTGCCGGCCATAAACTGGTGATAGTCGCCCAGTCCGGTGTTAGCCCTGCCCTGTCAGGTGCGAGGTATCACCCCAGTCCAAGATAGCACCCCATCGTAATCTTACGTCGGACAGTTCGGTGTCGCATCCCATCCCCGTCATTTGTGACAGATGATCTAACCTGGTGAAGGCTAGTCCGGTGATGTCGGCCCCACCCACTGTGGCATGCGCCCTACCGGCCTGTTGGCAGGTGACCTACCCTGGTGACGGCCAGCCCGGTGTCGCGGAGGGACGGTTGACCTACCCTGGTGACGGTTGACCTACCCTGGTGACGGCCAGCCCGGTGTTGGCCCACCCCGGTGTCGCGGAGGGACGGTTGACCCACCCTGGTGACGGTTGACCTACCCTGATGCCGGGTGACCTACCCTGGTGACGGGTGACCTACCCTGGTGACGGTTGACCTACCCTGGTGACGTGTGACCTACCCTGGTGACGGTTGACCTACCCTGGTGACGGTTGACCTAACCTGGTGACGGTTGACCTACCCTGGTGACGGTTGACCTACCCTGGTGACGGTTGACCTACCCTGGTGACGGTTGACCTACCCTGGTGACGGCCAGCCCGGTGTTGGCCCACCCCGGTGTCGCGGAGGGACGGGTGACCTACCCTGGTGACGGTTGACCTACCCTGGTGACGGTTGACCTACCCTGGTGACGGGTGACCTACCCTGGTGACGGGTGACCTACCCTGGTGACGGGTGACCTACCCTCGTGACGGTTGACCTACCCTGGTGACGGTTGACCTACCCTGGTGACGGCCCACCCTGGTGTCGCGGAGGGACGGGTGACCTAACCTGGTGACGGTTGACCTACCCTGGTGACGGTTGACCTACCCTGGTGACGGCCAGCCCGGTGTCGGCCAGGTCGGGTAGCAGCTCGCCCAGACACAGCAGCTCGGTGAGCCGCTGCAGGTAGATGGCGCTCAGCGCCTCCAGCCGGTGTCGGTGCCGCGCACTGCCGGCGCGCAGTGGTCGGATCCGCACCGGGTCCGTCGAACTGGCGGTGCCATCGTCGCCAGTGTCGCCGGCGCCGCTGTCCACCGCCGCGGGGGCCTGCAGCATCCTGGACCGGATCAGACGTCAGAGAACACAGAGGGAAACGGCACACTGGCAGTGACAAGTCCAGACAGTGTTAAATGATGATTTTCTTACTGATCTTTATTACACTGATCTTATTACTGATAAAACAGATGTGCGATTTTTGCCATCAAATGGATATTAATAAATGCAAGAATCAAACTGCTCAGGAAATGACAACACTGAGCAAAACTTGCCTCTCACCTTTCCTTTTTCTTGGCAGCTGCCATGAATTTCTTCATCATCCTAGCCTGCTGTTGAGCTGATATCATTACCCTCACATTATTCATGCACACAGAAGTGGAGACCCCTCGGCAAATGGCCACCAAATTCATTGGACGAAGAAAAGACATGATGAAAAGCAGAATCTGTAAGCAAAATGGTTTGTTAGGAGCCCTGATCGGCGGCCGGCTAGTACTCTTGCCCGCGCTCACATACGTGCACGTTACCCCGGCAACGGGCTATTGACCAATGAGAAGCGAGAAAAGTGTTACGTCACTGCGATTTTTCATATACCTGTGCCCCCCGGACGTGACGTAGTGTGCTCGCGCGCGTGCAGGGTCAGAGGCGATCGAAAAAGAGCGCTAGCAGCGCGCCACTCGACGCCGCAATTGTCAAAAGCGGCGTGTTAGTATGCTTTATTATGAATGATGTGTGTAAATTGTAAAAGTGAGTTTTTATGTTGTTTATTTGGTGGAGATGGTTGTAATAAATTAAGTTATTTTTATTTCTGTTGGTTGGAGTTTTTATTCAAAAGATTTCGGTCTATACCATTGATATTTACTGAAAATACCTTCGCTTGAATAAATTGCAGATATTTGGCAACTGAAGTGTTAGGTAAGCCTAAATGATATGTAAAAAGGTAAGAGACACCCTGATTATCATTTGAGAAACGAAAATATATGAATTTTCCTTATAAGACTCGCTCAATATGCTACTCCGCGGTTTATGCCCCGAGGGTGTCCGAGGGTTGCCGTTAGTTTGTCGTTGGCGCTCGGCTCGCGCGCGAGCCGACGTCACCGCCTGTGACGTCGGCTCGCGAAATACGTCATACCCTGCACACAAAATAGCCGGCTGCCGAACAGCGCTCAGTTGCTTCTTGATACCAGTCTCACCTGGTACTGGAACCCATGAAGTTTCATAGATTCTCAATAACATTGATTTTTTTTTTGTTGGCAAACTGTATGCTTCCTCAATCCTCACAGCTACCCTTTGAATGCCTAAAAAGTTTTTAGGCATTCTGCCCCTCTTATATAGCAGAATGCAGCAGCTACATGGTCCCCACCTCTCCCCAATCCCATTTACTGAGTGCAGCAGCAGAGTAGGTAACTCATAACCCTCTCATATGCAGAGTGAAGTGAAGTGGCCAAATAACCCCTCCTTTTCCCTACCCTTATTCGGGGTGCTGCAGCTAAAAAGCTTTTAAGCTACAGCACCCTGAATGTCTCTCCCACATACATGGTGTAGCAGCTAAGAAACCTTTACACTTTATCATTCCATGTACATAATTTAGCAGCTAGCTAACATATATCCCTTTCCAAATGCAGATTGTAAACCTGCAAATGTCCTACTTTTCCCATTTTATGAGGGAAGCAACCGAATACCTCTTAGTTCCTACCCCTGTCATTGATGTACCAGTTAGTGCAGCAGCTGACTAACTCAAATCCCTCCCCTATTACACTATGCAGCATGTAGCAACTGAGTGACTCCTGCCTCAAGTGTCTTATAGGTACAGCATGTAGCATATGACTAGCCTCTGTCCTTCCCATACCTACAGAATGTAGCTACTGAATTGGTAGCCTTATCCCTCCGAAGTACTGAGTGTAGCATCTGAGCTAAGCATCTGTCCCCTCCTCAGAGTGAAACAGCTAACCAACCTGTGTCCTTCCCTCAGGATAAGTGGGACGGGCAGCTCTGATAGTGGCTCGTTGAGCTGAAATGCCAATGCTCGAGATGGACTCCAGCGTTGGAAGTGTCGGAAGCAGGAAGAGAGCCGGAAAGCACTACACCGTGGAGGATGAGGCTCTGGACAGGATCGCCAAGGAAGTGAGTACCGACCGGGACGGTCCTTTGATGCGTGCGAGTCCGCCGCCAGGGCAGATTGCTGAGACCGGGAAGGGGTGGTCTCCCATCCTGACACGCCGAGTGCGTGCCAGTCACTGCCAGGGCAGTATACCGCGCCTCGCTCGTCCCACTCGACTGTCGAGAGTTCGGCTGAAATATCAACTGGAATTGGTTTAACAAGGCGCAGCGTCATTACGAATGTGACATAATTTTGATAAGAGTTGGTGATATTTCTATATCGTGATCATGTGTTTCTATATCGCCCTTTCCCATAACTAACTATTGATGTTTTTATTGGGTTTTGGAAGCAGTCACATGAAAAGTGCATAGAGCTAGTGCATACTTCCAAATTTCCCGACTTTAATCGCAAGCTATCCCCGTGAGGTCACGTAACCTTCATCTCTGACTGGCCCCGGCTCTGGCTCCGGCTCCGACTCTGGCTCCGACTCCGGCTCCGACTCCGGCTGATCCTTCAGCGCCGGCGGATGCTCTGTAGTTTGGGCCTTGCTCCGTCTGCTGTTTCGGGCGAGGTGTGACCGTCTGTCCAGCAGACGTGCCGTCCGCGCATGACCGTGGCGGCAGCGCTGACGTAAACCGCTACAACAAACAAACAGACCTCAGTGCAGGCCCGAGAGGTCGGCTTGCATACCGTGCACCGTGTACGCGCCCTACACCAACTGTGGCGCTGGCCGAATACGGGGTGGCCCCTTTATTGGCTGGTCACGTGCCGTCCCGTCCCGGTACCCTCGTAGTGACCGTTTCTGTTGACTCTCGTAGTCCTTCTCTGGTGCCCCCTCCTCCCGCCAGTTGTGGCCGGTCCTGTCCCGGTAGCTCCTGCTAATGGGTGATCCAAGTCCAGTGGCTCCTCCGTTAATGGTCGTTCCCGCTTCAGTGGCATCTCTTGTAGTGGTGGGTTCAACCCCGGCTATCCTCCGCTATTGCCACTTTGTCACGGAAGCTCGTAGCCGTGATGTAACGTTGCCCGGCCCGACTCCAGTGCGCCCGTGCGCTCATAGACGGAGAGCCAGTCCGCTCAGGGGCTCAATCAGTGGTGTAATTGCCTGAGGTACGTCTGGTCACATGACAAAGCCCATCGCGGTATTGGCAGCCGCCCGCGGCTGGCGTCGTCTCGCGTGGCCTTGACCGTGTCTCCCGGGCCGGGTGCGGACGCGGCAGCGCACGGCGACGATGGGACGGACCGCTCTCTCCGTGCTGACGGCCGTATAAGGCGGCGTGGCGGCAGTCTCAGCTGGCCGGGCTGCGCTGACCGCACTCACTGACCGGGGAGCGGCCGGAGACCCTGTCTGCCGGACCGACTGTCGGCGCCGTGTAGACGGGACGGAGACGGCCGGTGGCTGAACGGGTGAATCGACGCCACCGGCCCTGACGTGCTCAGGGGCTGTTTTCCTGTGACGAGCGGACACCATTCCCGTGTTTGTGACGGATCGATTGGCGCCTACTACGTCTCGCTTCATGTCGCTGTTGTGGCTGTCACTACAAGTCTGGCTCTCTAAAAAGCGCAGAACCAGCAATATGGATTATGGAATATCGTCTCTCATGTGCCTAGACCCGGGTATTCGGATTAGGCAAAGGACCCTTTTCCGTCATCGCGTGCACTGCGACGGGGCTGGTGCCACTCCTTCGTCACCTACCATCTCGTTACCTGGGCGTGGGTTTTTTGAGCCTCGTGACGATCGAATAAGGGCCAGGGCCCCATACACCTATGGGGACCCATTGGTTGTTTAAGGGGGGCAAATGATATGATAGCCCCCTTTGTTGGCCTGGGGGGGGGGACATGGCCCTGATGCCCCCTTCCGCAACCGCCACCGTGTACACACCACACATGCCTCTGAGATTACGTACTAGCTCATGCAAACTCAATGCAGGCCCCGGAGGTCCCACACTAATCATAAAGTCCCACTAAAGAAACCAAGCCGGCACACGGCGTCACCACCGGGCTTCTGAGGTGCACCGCACCAACCCATGAGGTCTTACTTTAGTGTCGTAGAGCCACGCTCCTTTAGCAGGGCCCACCCGCCACTGTCGAAGAGGGTCTCATGCCAGCCATTGCTGGGCCTACGAGAGCCTCAAGTAAACCCACGCTGATATTCCATATAAGATCCGGCCATACTCGTGAACCGGTGCCAGCGACGCTGACCGCCAAATTGACAGAACGCGAAACTGAGCCCACTCATGAGTGAAATTTACGTCCTTTGATGGCACAAGAAAGAAAATGAAACATACAAAAAGCTTTTTTTAGGACTTTTGTTCGATCTAAAAGGTGGGGCCAAAAGATAGTATGGCCCCACCTTTCAGCACCAAAGGGGGGGCCATGGCCCCCGTGGCCCCCCCCCCTGGGACCGCCTATGGGTACTCTCTTAGCAGACGTTTGGCAGACGTCACCCCAATTGCCAGATCTAATGGCCAGTTGAAAAATCTAGAGACTTTTTGAAAAGTCTCTAAATGGGCAGGAAAATCACCCCAGGGGTCAATTAGGGGGTGGGGAACACGAATTTGACACTTATTTTGGCCTAACTCCCCTCCTTCATCCCTTAATCCTCCCTTAAAGGACGGGGCGCGTCAAAAGTGCCTCAAGGATTCGTCTGATCGCCAAAATAAGGGTTGCAATCGATTCCTCGCGTCAACATGTGGCCGCAGCCTCACGTTCCAGATGTGTGCAGCGTATCCCTTATCCCTTAAGAGTTAAGGGACGATTAAGGGATATAGGGATACGCAGCACACATCTGGAACGTGAGGCTGCGGCTAGATATCGACCCGAGGAATCGATTGCGATCCTTATTTTGACGATCAGACGAGCCCTTGAGGCACTTTTGACGCGCCCCGTCCATTAAGGGACGATTAAGGAATAAGGAATACGCTGCAGTCTGCACACATCTGGAAGCCGAAGCCACGGCTAGATGTTGACCTGAGGAATCGATTGCGACCCTTATTTTGGCGATCAGACGAACCCTTGAGGCACTTTTAACGCGCCCCGTCCTTCAAGGGACGATTAAGGAATAAGGGATACGCTGCAGTCTGCACACATCTCGAACGTGAGGCCACGGCTAGATATTGACCTGAGGAATCGATTGCTATCCATATTTTGGCTATCAGACGAACCCTTGAAGCACTTTTAACGCGCCCCGTCCTTTAAGGGACGATTAAGGGATAAGGGATATGCTGCACACATCAGGAACGTGAGGTTGCGGCTAGATATCGACCCGAGGAATCGATTGCTATCCATATTTTGGCGATCAGACGAACCCTTCAGGCACTTTAAACGCGCCCCGTCCTTTAAGGGACGATTAAGGGATAAGGGATACGCTGCACACATCAGGAACGCGAGGCTGCGGCTAGATATCGACCCGAGGAATCGATTGCGACCCTTATTTTGGCGATCAGACGAGCCTTTGAGCCTTGAGGCACTTTTGACGCGCCCCGTCCGTTAAGGGACGATTAAGGGATAAGGGATACGCTGCACACATCTGAAACGTGAGGCTGCGGCCCCATGTTGACGCGAGGAATCGATTGCGACCCTTATTTTGGCGATCAGGCGAATCCTTGAGGCACTTTTGACGCGCCCCGTCCTTTAAGGGAGGATTAAGGGATGAAGGAGGGGAGTTAGGCCAAAATAAGTGTCAAATTCGTGTTCCCCGCCCCCTAATTGACCCCTGGGGTGATTTTCCTGCCCATTTAGAGACTTTTCAAAAAGTCTCTAGATTTTTCAACTGGCCATTAGATCTGGCAATTGGGGTGACGTCTGCTAAGAGAGTACCAAATATCAGTAGCGCGGGCATATCAGTATCAGTATCAGCTACAAGGCCCTATATACCTATCAGCTATAGGTATATAGACCAGGGGCCGTATTCACGTCGACTTCGTAAGTCGATTTTCTTTCGTAAGTATAATTTGGTATTCACGTCGACACTTCTTAAGTTTTTATCGACGGAGTTTACGTGAATAAAAAAATTTACTTAAGAAGTAGGTCAAACTTAAGAAAATTCTTACGAAAATGATCGACGTGAATACGGCCCCAGACAGGCTCGGCCCCTACCGAATCTGTGCTGTGCTGAAGCTGTGCTGAATCTATGCCAACTTCCGTTACATTCGGTATACTCTGTAGAGCATCAGAAATCATAATATTTGCAAAAACCGTTTCAGTTTTTGTTTGTTTGTTTGTTATTTATAATGCCTTGTTTATAATTATCCGCCGCGAGCCGAGAAGTGGTGCATTAGGTGGTCTTCTAACCAGCTTCTAACGGCATATGTTTGATGACGTCTTCAATATTAATAATATTTTTTCCCGATTCTTTTTAATTTTGTTAATATTATTGTTAATATAATACGACCACAAAAAGCACAAAAGATTTGTATTTCTAGTTATCATTAGAAAAAGTACGGAAATCATCTTTGCAATGTGAAATTGAATCGGTAGCAACATAACTTGAAAATGGGCCAAGGATTGTGTGTTCTGTGAACAAATCATCACATTAGTTGCAATGATGTCATAGGTACACAAATCATTTTCTTTCAACGCTTTCAACAAAATGCTTTGCAAAATGCCATAATAGTTACGTTTGCGACGAACGGGGCGCAGATCAGTCAACAAATTTTGGTAAATTTGATCAATTTGATTTGTTAAGAAAATGGATAGAGAGTCAATAAATTTATTGCATTTTGTGTTTTCTGATGAATTTCAGGTCGAGGTCAGGTCAAGGTCATGTCAAGTGAGGTCAAATTTTGAAGTTGGTTGTTAAGGCCTAAAAATGTGTCTACTGTATACTGATTCAGTTTTTCACGGCAAATCGAATGATGCTATTTTTGTTCCCGTACGAAGTCTAGAAATAAAAAAATCATTATTCAAATTTTATGTGTGTCATGAATCGTAACATCATAAAATTTTGAATAACTCCCACATTTTATAACAGATTCTTCTAAAAATTGATATGTAGGTGCACATAGACCACTTCTTTGACATGTAT